AGGGGGGGATTGGAGCAGTGCCCGCCAGCCCTCCCGCAGCAGATGTGGTGGCAGTTTGTAATCAAGCTGCAGATTAAGGCCTGCGGGTTTCGGGGTCGTCTGTCTCTCCAGTGGTGCAGAAGATGGGATTTAGCCTGTGTCTGTTCCCAAACATCCCCAGACACCCACGGGGTGGGAGGGGATGGGGGGGCTGGCAGCTGCGTGGCCTACATATGCTGCCTGCCCCACAGACTGTGTGGTGCTCTGTGTCCCCCCGGCTCTGCGGGGAGTCCCCCTATCCCAGGAGCCCCGTGCAGCACCCCAAGCCCAGCCCCAAGGGATGGGGATGCACCGGGGGCTGCTGGGTCCAAGCAGGGTCCCGGTGCTGGGCAGGAGCCTGGCCTGGCGGTGCTCGGTGCAGGCAGCTCCACACCGCTGGCACGAGGGCTCTGTCCCCAGGCCTGGCAGTGCCGTGCTGGGCACCTTGGCTGCCGCCGGGCAGGGCAGCACGGCTGTCACTTGTGGGCGGCGGTTGCCAGGGCTGCTTCCTGCACAGGCAGAGCCGAGGCCAGGGCCGGCCAGCAAAAGAAGGAACAGAAAGCCCCAGGTGCAGCGGGGCTGCGCGGCAGCCAGTGGCACACCAGGAGTTCTGCTACTGGGAGTTGGAGCCGTGTGCCAGGGACGAGGCCACCGGCCCTCCTGTCCCCCAGACCCCTCGGACCCTTGCGGGTCCGTCCCTGGGAGAGGCACAGCCCCACCTGGCCTTATCCTGACACCCCAGGGGTGCTGCCTGCTCCAGCCACAGCCCCACGTCCCGTCCCTGTGCTGGGTCATGTCTGTGATGGCCCCGGCGGGGCCACGCAGGATCCCTGCTCTGCACCCACAGCTGGCCGCAGGGCCAGCATTGGCCCTAGGACCCTCCTCCCTCCCCTTCCTCCAGGATGCAGGGTGCAGGATGGCACCCCCAGAGCCGGCACAGAGTGGAGGTCTGCAGTCAGTGTCCTTGCACTGCAGAAAGAGCAGGGGAGGGGTAGAGACCCTCCAGCAAATAGCCCTGGGGACACCCCGTGGCCCAGGGGCCAGGCTGCCTCTGCCCAGCCACTCTCCAGCCAGGGCTCAGCAGCTCCATGGCCCCGCTGCACCGCGGGCACTGGCAGCAAGCTCCTGGGGCCGGCAGGGACCTGCCTGCTCCCCACGCCCGGCTGGAGGCATCAGGAGGGCCGAGGGCAGAGCTGGGATAAGCCACGGCAAAGACGGCTGTAGTGAGGAGAAAGCGGGATTGAGGGATTACCGTGGAAAACAGCAGAAAGCCCATTAAAGCCGGGGATCAATTTGCTCCCCCCTGGGGAGAGGAAAGTGGGGCCTCTGCCCCACAGGAACTAATCTGCCTCTTAATGAGGAGTTGGGAATTTAGTTGTCAACAACCAGCAACACGCCTGCCCAGTGCCATGGGGGCACAGGAGCACAGGAGCGTGGGGGTGCAGGCGCACAGGAGCATGAGGGTGCAGGGCAGGGCTGGGGCCTGCCTGGGACACCCTGCACCAGCAGCTGCCCCAGTTCCTGGAACCGCCACATTTCCCCTCAGG